GGAGATTAACATGATGGAAAACAGATCATTCCCCTGAATGTGCACCAGTGCTAATTTTAAAACGGTTTAAGGCTATACAAGTTTAAAGACAATGTAGTGAAAGTCATGCTAAGCAAAGTGAAAATGAACAAGATTTGTAAATGTACCATTGCCCCATGAGAATTCAGCCACCACGGCCACTATGGCCAGGAGAATCAGACCCAGTGCAGTCTTGAAGGACATCATGGTTTACTGCAAACTAAAACTTTTGAATGTCTGAAAGTTTGTTACCAAAGAAATTTTTATACTTTTTTGACCCTGTTATCCTCCCCTTTTTCGAAATGCATGCTTCACTGCTCATGTCATCTAAACAAACACGGCACGTCCACACAGTGTTTTTGGAAATAGCAGGATTGCACAATTTTGGTTTAATAGATTGTTTTAGAGTTCTATAACTGTGCTGAAGTTCTGAATCTCAAAGAGGTCGCATGTTTCTGCTGGCAAATGGAAAGCGGGAAAAGCCAGAATTGCACAACTAAATAAAATAAAAAATAAAAAAACATTCACAGTTGAACAAACAGTAAAAGAGTATGAAAACAGTAGTAATTCTTACTATTTAGTAGACCGTTTTGTTTAGTACTGACTTTTAATTCATTTTTTTATTGAATTGTAGTTTAATTAAACTTATTTATTGTGCTAAGGAGAGTCAGAAGAAGCTATAATGGAGGTTGCTGATAATTCAAAACAAAATTAAGATAGAAATTGAGATGTAAACTTAAGTACATTATCATGCAATAGGATGATGGAAATTTTTAATGCTCTGTTATTCTTCATCTGTTTACCACCAATGCTACTCACCCTCACAAACTGTCTAATGTGTTCAGAGGCCTGCTTTGCAGAAATACATTTCCCAATCATTTCAATAGACATTACAAACATAAATAAATAATTAAATTAAGATTTGAACCCAACCTCTCCTACATAAATCACAACTTTGCAACAATAACCGACAAATGATTGCTGGCACCAGACTGGGTGGTTTGAGTATTTTACAAAATGGATTTCACAACAGAGTCTAGAGTTTGGTATGGAAAAAAAAGGCCTTTGAGAATTTGAGAAGGTTTAGAGGAGAATGGCCAGACCAATGTGCTATGCACTACAACATCTTTGAATTGACCATATGCATCCATTAGTTCCACAGTCAAACCCATCTTCTTGCAGGATTCATGGATTTTTATAATATCACTATTTTATAATAACTATTTTATTTTATAATAACACTGCATGTTGCACCATGACTCAGACAGGAATCACGTATGACACTCATTTATATTTACAGAGATGCACTTTGATTTAAGTGACTAGTGTGCCACCTAACCACAGAATAAAGGTTAGTATCACACAGAAAGTTTAGATGGAGACTTGCCTCACTAAATGAGACCCTGAAGAGGCTTATATCAAATGCATCACTACCAGGGCCGCATTAACCATTGGGCTAGGCGGGGCTGAAGCCCCGGGGCCCGAGCAAGGAGTACACACTCAGCATAAAAAACAGTCAGCGAGCAATTTACATATTAGGGAAGGACTAACGGTTCACACGGATATAACTGCTTCAACAACATGGTGTCAGCCTTTAATCACACCTGACAACACCACAGAAAAGCAAATGGCATTTTTTAGCTATCGAAATAATTCCCAGGTGAGCATGATTATGAAATCAAGTTACTTTACAAATATGTTGTGTGTGTGTGTGTGTGTGTTCCTAAATATTTTTTCTAAGTTTATAATTTTTCCCTGTCCAAGTTTTTATGTACTCTTTTAAACACGAATGTACTTCTTCAGATAGTGGGACTGTGCATACTGCTCCTGATATCACTGCCTCTGATTTGGATGGGCATAAGGAAATGGTAATACACACTAACGAGAACCAAAGAACTTGATAATGAACAAATAGAAATGGTGGATTTGAGCCCTTCACCGCCTCCTGACAGTGCTTTTACAATTGTGGATCACAGTATAGATTATTTTTAACAGCATAAAATAAAACAGCACAAGACATGACGCCATTTTCATAGTCATTTTAAGACATTTTCATGTTCACAAACCTCATGTTTAAAATTCCTAGTCTTCATGCATTAAATATAATGGTATAAAATAATGTAAAAAGTTTTTTAATTTAATTTTATATACTGTGACATCACTGAAATATGGTCTTTTTGCAACAGAAATAATCAACTTTGTGTTAATCACTTCTGAACAAGTAAACTGTATTTGCCATTTTCTGATGAAAATGTGTTATATTATAAGTTTTTCCTTTAGCAACTGTCATGTAGAGTGACAAACCACTTCCTGTCATTTACAACAAGATCATGTTTACTTTCAGTTTTTGAATTACTTTCACTTTGAATCATTATAGTCTTTTAGTGAAATGGCAAAATGAAAAACAACCACATTCCTAAACTCTATACTCTCAGAGACAAATGTTACTATTTATGAACTGGTGAGTACTCAAACTTAAAGCAAAACACCTCCAGGCCAACACATCATACAGTTTCCTCAGGGATGAAATCCAAGAATCTGTTCTGGATTATTATTGAGTAAACAGCTGCTTTAAACCAAGAAAATCATTTGAAGCATCTGATCCTGCCTTGTTATAAACACTTTAAATGGACAGTCCTCCCAAAAAGGAATATTCTGTCATAATTTACTCACCCTTGTGCTGTTACAAACCTGCATGACTTTCTTTCTTCTGCAGAACACACAAAGAAGATAATCTGAACGATATTTTGACAGTTTTTGTCCATACAGTGAAAGTCAGTGGGGTCCAAAACAACACTGAACACATTACCTTTCACAAAAAAAAAAAAGTTTTGTTGCTTTGTGTTCAACATAGGAAAGAAAGTCTGTAACACTTTGTTTTCAGAACCAATTCTCACTATTAACTAGAAGCTTATTAGCATGCATATTACTAGCATAGTGGCTGTTTATTAGTACTTATTAGGCCTTATTCTTCATGACCATATTCTAGATCTTTTAACCCGACCCCATACCTAAACTTAACAACTACCTACTCACTTTTAATAAGCAGCAAATTAAGAGCTTGTTGAGGGAAAACTCTTAGTTAATAGTCAATATGTGTTCCCTAATCTAAAGTGTTACCAGAAAGTCATACAGGTTTAGAATGGCATTGTTGGAAACTCAGAAGCAAAGACCAGGAGACTCTTGGGGATCTTTAGCAGGCTTCTTTGTTGAAAAACGTGCTGTGTGGCGCTGCAGTCATCAAAAGTCTAACTAAGGCAGTGATACATTGTATTTTATATACATTTAGGGGCAGTGCTTAGAAATGGAGACAAGCACCTGGGTCAGAGCCATAGAAAGAGAGAGTTGCGTCAACGGAAGTCCAAAACGCTCGATCGTCACGTGATTCACGTAGACCTCAAATAGTTCAAGGAGTGTGAAAGTATGGTTTCCCTACTGATCTGGAGGAGGAAAAAAATGATGCATCAGGTTTGGTTCAATTCACATTTATTTGTATTGCACTTTTTAATATACACATTGTTTCAAAGCAGCTTTACAGAAAATTTATGTTTCTACATTACCAATAAGAGTTCTGTTAACAGGTGTAACTGTGCCAGTCATGTTCATATGGCAGAAATGTTCTAAAATTAGGCTATACAAATCATGCAGTTAAGTAACGTCATGTATTCAGAAACAATGAAATATATACAGAAACAATGAACAAATTAAAGCAATGGTTACATGATGTTATCATGTTGATTACAATGCAAGGAAAATTGAGCACTTATTTACAGCAATCGATTTATACATTTATAATAAACTATAAGGCATGTTGTCCTTGAACAGTCTCCACTGTAGTTTGCTGTGCTGCATTATGAGTGCTCGTCACTCACAGAAAGGAGTGTGAAAGTATGGTTTCCCTACTGATCTGGAGGAGGAAAAAAATGATGCATCAGGTTTGGTTCAATTCACATTTATTTGTATTGCACTTTTTAATATACACATTGTTTCAAAGCAGCTTTACAGAAAATTAATGTTTCTACATTACGAATAAGAGTTCTGTTAACAGGTGTAACTGTGCCAAAGTAATGG